TGGCAAGTAAACCAGTGGATGGAAGAATGCTCCCTCTCTCTGTAACTATGCCTTTCAAATAAATATTTAGAAAAACCTGACTAATACAATAGCAATACCCAGTTCAGAAATGGGATGAGTCAAAGTAGAATCAAGTAAAGGAAAGGGGTCCACACTGGATGACAGAAAATAACTTCAGCGCCCACATTTCCGTGTGGAATAGAGCTGATGGGATAAAGTGAGCAAGACACCAAGGTCCCTTCTTAACGACTGTGGAGGTTCACAGGAAGAAGAGAAAATGACTGGAGGTCAGAGCACACCAAGTCTAAATCCAGAATCCGCTGCTTCGCAGGTGCAGGGTTTGTGGCAGGCGACTAGGATGAGCCCAACAGCTTCACCCCCCTGGATGCTCACCCTGTGGCTACCTGCTCTGTCTGTGTTAACTCGTTCAAGTCTCAGTCCAAGGAAAATGCTCTGATTGTGTGTGCCACATTGAGCAGCAGCAAGCTGAGGTCACTGCCTAACCATGCAAGGCTCATCAGCGGCCAAGCTGGGACGCAACAGAGATTGTTCTCAGAGCCCCTCACAAACTCAAATTTGTGCAAAGCCAGCAGGACCCCAGTCTGTAAGCAGTGCATGACCCCAGCAGCCATGTCTGCTGGAAGACTGCGCAGACTGTGGGGCTGAGGACCACTGGACACCCAGGGTCCTGACAGCAGCTGTTTGGTGGAATGGAGGATACACCAGTGGTGTGTACGCCATACTACAGTGGGCACGCCACAGGACAGACACATGAGGCACCCCTGTCTGAGAAGTCAGGGCAGTCGGCAGACAGTGCCACGTGTGAGAGTTCCCACAGCAGGGGGTTGCTAGGAAGACACCCTGGGACAATGGGAGGACCCCAGAGAAACACTGTAGAGCGAAGGGCTCACCAGTGTGCACAGCGCCAGCAGCAAAGGGGGGCCGGTAGTAACAGCGATGTCTGTGAGGAACCACCGAGGGTCCTGACCAGCTGGAGCAGAGGCAGCGTGGGATATGACAGGGGCACAGAAGTCCCCCAGCTCACCAACAATCCAGAGCTTCCTACACAACCGGTACAGGAAACAGTGGGCCTGCTCTGGCTGCCAGGAGCCGCACACCCCAGCTGAGCCAGCAGAGACCTCGAAGGCCTCGAAAGGCGACCAAGCTCGCTGGGCTGTTTTCCCAGCAGCTTCCTGTATCATGGTTCCCTGAACCTGACCATTCCTAAGGACAGATGTGAGTGCTTTCTCTCCTCTGCATTTTAGGCTCTTTGAAAGGCATGGAAGGACTCTGAGCTTCCTCCATGATTTTCCCCAAAAGTCATGGAATGAAGGTCAAAGAGAGGACAAAATGTCACATAAATGGGACGTAACCTTCAGGTTTCTGAGTTGGAGAGACGTGTGAGATCAGGTGGAAGAAACTAATAGTGGTTTGTGAGTGATGACACTGAAGAGCTCCAGAATGCCTTGGGACAAGCAATGGCACGTCACAGAACAAGGGATTTGAAGCAGAGAGCAGCAGCCCATTAGAAGGCTAACAAGGTGAGTTCTGGTGGAAGGATCCAGACACCAGCGGGGCAGGGATGGAATCAGCTTGCAGCGATGCCAAGGCTGGACTCGAGCAGGGCTCCCTGAACCCACGGGTGCACCCCTGAAGGGACGGTATGCCCACACAATACGGGGCAGCCACCCCTGCCTGGCACGTAAGAGGGAACACCTACTGAGCAGCCACTGTTTCCTCCTACCCACGTGGATTCTAACAAATCCTGGTAGACCGTGAATATAAAAAGCAGTAATAAACATGGAATTTCAAAAGTAAGCGCATGCAAAATATTTGTGTTCTTTGCATTCTCATATATATATATTTTTTTTTGACAGGCAGAGTGGACAGTGAGAGAGACAAAGAGAAAGGTCTTCCTTTTTGCCGTTGGTGCACCCTCCAATGGCTGCCGCGGCTGGCGCGCTGCGGCCAGTGCAACGCGCTGATCCGATGGCAGGAGCCAGGTGCTTTTCCTGGTCTCCCATGGGGTGCAGGGCCCAAGCACTTGGGCCATCCTCCACTGCACTCCCGGGCCACAGCAGAGAGCTGGCCTGGAAGAGGGACAACCGGGACAGAATCCGGCGCCCTGACCGGGACTAGAACCCGGTGTGCCGGCGCCGCAAGGCGGAGGATTAGCCTAGTGAGCCGCGGCGCCAGCTTGCATTCTCATATTCTAAAGTGAAACATCCCACATATAACCAATTACACTTCTTGGTGGAACAACCAATTTATTATTCACCTGCTAAAAAATGTTTAGCCTGAAGATGTGTTATGTAGAAAGATAAAACGTAACACCTCTTCGATTTCCATTTTTTTTTAAAAGAGACATTTCTCAACCAGTAAAATTTTTCAACTGGTAAAACAGACATAACTTTTTTTTTTTTTTGGACAGACAGAGTGGACAGTGAGAGACAGAAAGGTCTTCCTTTGCCGTTGGTTCATCCTCCAATGGCCGCCGCGGCTGGCGCGCTGCGGCCTGCGCACCGCGCTGATCCGATGGCAGGAGCTAGGTACTTCTCCTGGTCTCCCATGGGGTGCAGGGCCCAAGCACTTGGGCCATCCTCCACTGCACTCCCGGGCCACAGCAGAGAGCTGGCCTGGAAGAGGGGCAACCGGGACAGAATCCGGTGCCCTGACCGGGACTAGAACCCGGTGTGCCAGCGCCGCAAAGAGCAAGATTAGTCTAGTGAGCCGCGGCGCCAGCCGAGAAATAACATTTTTTTAAAAAAATTGACTAGCATATTCATTCTTAATGAAAGTAAAATTGGGAACCTTGGAACATGCCTTCTGCAAAGTGTGCCCTATTTCCTCTGGAAAAATCTACATGCTGGTTCCAAATGGCACTTATCAGTAGCAGTACTTCAAATGTAAGGAATTTCAGATCTACTTGTGTCAAGAGGATATACAAGGACCACAGGCATGAGGTCTGCAAAGAATGAGGCAATAATATTTAACAATTAGATCGAATGTTAACTCTCCATGTACTTGTATTCACTGGACATACAATGGCTAAAGGTAGAAGTGATAGAATTTTCAGTTGCCTTAGGTCATTATCTCAAAATTTTTGAATCCAATTTTTAAAAATTTTTTTAAAGATTTATTTTATTTCATTTGAAAGACAGAGTTGCAGAGAGAGGTAGAGACAGAGAGAGAGGTCTTCCATCTGCTGGTTCACTCCCCAGATGGCTGCAATGGCTGGAACTCTGCCGATCCGAAGCCAGGAGCCAGGAGCTTCTCCCAGGTCTCCCACATGGGTGCAGGAGCCCAAGGACTTGGGCCATCTTCTACTGCTTTCCTAGGCCTTAGCAGAGAGCTGGATCAGAAGAGGAGCAGCCACGACTAGAACCAGCGCCCATATGGAATGGCTGCGCTTTAGGCCAGTGCTTTAATCCACTGTGCCACAGTGCCCACCCCCAATTTTTTAACGTGTAAATAGGACTAGGTTTTTTTTTTTTTTTTTCTCCATGTAAAAGCCCTTTAAAAAGTAGGAAGTTGGAGGGATAAAGAGTAAGAAAAACAAGGCCAGCGCCGTGGCTCACTAGGCTAGTCCTCCACCTGCGGCACCGGCACCCCGGGTTCTAGTCCCGGTCGGGGCGCCGGTTCTGTCCTGGTTGTCCCTCTTCCAGGCCAGCTCTCTGCTGTGGAGGATGGCCCGAGTCCTTGGGCCCTGCACCCGCATGGGAGACCAGGAGAAGCACCTGGCTCCTGGCTTCAGATCAGCGCGGTGTGCTGGCCACAGCACACTGGCCACGGCAGCCATTGGAGGGTGAACCAACGGCAAAGGAAGACCTTTCTCTCTCTCTCTCACTGTCCACTCTGCCAGTCAAAAAAAAAAAAAGTAAGAAAAATGTAACAAAAGGAACAATGTGTGGAAGAGAGATAAATGAATAAAATAATTTAGCTCATTAACACTCATTAATATTCAGATGTCCTTCCAGCAGGAGCTTACAGAGACACAGGGGACGGGCACAGGAGAGCCTCCCTCCCTGAACCCCAGATCTATGGCAGGAGACAATGAGCTCCCTCTCTGTTCAACAGCAAAGGATGAACGTCCGAGGTCAGTGTGTGCCCAGAGCTGAGACACTGTGACCCCAACAGCCTGGGACGGAGGTGTCGCAGCAGCAGCAGACAGGAGAGGAGCATGTGGGAACTTACAGAGACAAGCAGACTGCCGCAAGGCCAGGGGCAGCTCAGGCAACCCCACGAGGAGCGGCGGGCCAGGAGTCCAGGGGACAGAGGGCTCCGGGTAAGGCTGGGCATCCGAGTCCCGTGCCACAGCTCAGCGCTGCTGGACAGCCTTCACAGGCAAGGAGCTTCAGAAAGATGCGGATGCTGTGTGTCCATGACTAAGGCAACCCTAAGCCTAGCCTGTGGAGCTGAGTGAACACTTGGTCAAGCTCCCCTCTGCGTGTGTGCGGTTATGTGACCTTTCCCTCTTGGGGCATTATAGTAGTGATGCCTGGTGTGCTTTAAATGCTTACCTAATTACCAGCTAGATTAAAAAAAATATATCTAACCATCTAACAAGCTCACCTTTTACTAAACTGACATGGAAGTATGTGAAGCTGACACCTCAAGACCTAGTCCCAAATCCTCACCTAAAGGCATGCACTTAGTTCCAGGACCAAATTGTGTCCCCTCCCCTCTGCCACCACTCAAAGATTGAAACCCTGACCCCAAAATGTTTGACCCTCACTCTCCACCCTCCCATTGTTGGAAACACTTGGTCTCGGGGTTCGCTTATTACTCAGGCACACACTGCACTCACCTCCCTCGACTCTCCTGGCCTCCTTCAGACAGTCTGAGGGCAAGGGGAGTGAGAACAGGTGTTGCCTGTGTAGCACCTGCTGGATCTTGTGCCTGGGTAACCGAATCCTGCCAGGAACAGTGAGACAACGGCCTGCTGGATCCTGTGCCTGGGTAACCGAATCCTGCCAGGAACAGTGAGACAACGGCCTGTACAAAGTGTTTGCAGACAACTTTATTGAAAAAAGTAATAGAAAAAGGGACCATTTTATAAGCCACAGTTAGGAGTCTTCTAAATGGCATCCATGTAGAACTGATTTACATCTCGGAACCACACGGACAATGAAAATAAAACACTCCTCGATAACGTCTCTTACGAATAAGCAATAATTTATTTCTCTTTTATTGTCACAATGACCACAGTTATCTAGCTACATGACCAATGTCACTACAAACCACGGGAGGATTGTCCACCTACACTTCACTGAGACTAAGACAAGGCCATCGGTGTGTGAAAGTACATCAAGTCTGGACAACAGGTGGATTCTATGCATAAGACAAGATGTGACAAGTGATTTACCAACAGGCTTGTTTTAATACGCGTTAAGCCAAGAAGCAAGCTTAGAAATGTTCTGACATCGAGTTCTTATTAAAGTAGAAAATACATAACCTAGAGAAATAAATCCAGATTTTAACTTACAATAGATACAGTAAAGTAGGAAATTAATTGGCTCCTTTTTTTTTTTTTGCTTTCTTTCCTTTTATTTTGTACTTTTTTTTTTATAAATGAGTAATAGGAATATATCACAAGTTAAAGAAAGATCCCAGCCAAAAAGAAGGTACCAGCGTATGAAAAAGAAATGAAAAATTAGCAGGTATTTTTGCTTACAAAAGAAGTCAGCGTCTCAAGAGTCGGTATAAAAACGCCACCTTGAACGAGGCAATAGAACGGGCCGTGGCCCGTGCGGTCACGCCCCCGCCGTCATACGGTGGTGACCGACAGGAAGGCGTTGTGCGCCCTGGTGCCGTCGGGCGACTTGGCGCCGTGCGTCATGAGTTCCTGGATGGTCATCCAGTTGTCCAGGATCTTCCTGTTGCGCTTCTTCATCATCTTCTTGTGGCTCAGCTCCAGGATGCTGACCTCCCGGCGGGCCTCGCCGCCGCTCTGCGGGCTCTCCCGCAGGCACTCGAGGCGGCTGCGCAGCATGAACTCGCGCCGCCGGCGCTGCTCCTTGGCGCGCACCAGGTGCTGCTTCCGCTCCTCCTTGCTCCAGTAGCGGCCCATCTTCATCTCGCTCATGGTGTCGTCGTCCGTGGTCATGCCGCTGCGCTCCTCCTTGATCTTCAGCGCGCGCTCCCGCAGGATGCGGTCGCGCACGGGCCGCTTGGTGATGTAGCGCGTGCCGTCGCTGCGGATCTTCACCTTCCACTCCATCCTGGGCTCGCCGCCCCGCTGCGGCTCCCGGCACGAGCTCGCCAGGCTCAGCTGGCTCTGGGCGCACTCCACCGCGGACCTCTGCTGGATCAGCTGCATGTAGCTCTGGTAGTGCTGGGCGTGCGCAGGGATGTGTGCGGCCCTGGAGGCCGAGCCGCGGGACGGGGACAGGTAGGGGACGTGCTCGCACGCCGGCCGCTCCTCGCCCTCGCCTGCTGGCCTGCCGCTGCCCGGCACTTTCTCCGGGCCTTCCCCGCCTCGCTCGGCGGCTCTGGCTCTGCCGCACGTGGCCTCTTGGCTGCGCAGGTTCTTGGTGTTGGTCAGGTGGATCACTCTTGGCAGCGAGCTGTCCGGGGAGCGGTCCACGGTCAGGGGCGTGCTCCTGCAGCTCTCGGCCGTGTTGTAGGCGCTGGAGCTGTCCTTGTCCGACTTCTCGGGGTGCTCCAGGATGTCGTCCAGCTTGGCCCTCGGCAGGTCCGCGCCGGTGGGGTGGGCGTGCAGCGCCCACGCGTCTGCGTGCTGGGCCGCGGCTCTCCGCAGCCGGTGCGCCTGCATGATGCTCTGGCACTCCAGCTCGATGTTCCTCAGCTCCTCGTTGAGCAGCTGCAGCTCGTGCTCCACGCCCTCCTCCTCGGGGTCGCACGCCAGCCGGCGGCTGGAGTAGTAGAGGTCGTATTGCCCGTGCGTGCGCACCTTGCACTGCAGCTCCAGGAGCTGCCGGAACCGCTCGCAGTCCTCGTGCGCGGGGTGCCGGCCGCCGCAGTCCGAGTCCCCGCAGTCCGCGGACACGAGGCTCTCGTGGAACTGCAGCTCCACGCTCCGCAGCGTGTCCTGGCTCTGCCCCAGCTCCCTCTTGCCCGCCAGCGCCGCGTTCTCCTGCTCCGAGCTCTCGTCGTTGCGCAAGCTCTCGTCCGTGCGGCCCACGCCGCTGTCCTTCTCGTGGGGGTTGGACGAGGACGTGGCAGTGTCCGTCGTGCCTTCCTCCTCCTCCTGCTTCTTCGGCTGCGAGAGTAAGGGAAAGAAATTCCTTAGTTTCGAAAGCACGCACGGAGGAAAGACAGGTCTGGGCACAAGCCTGTCTTCTAGAAAGCTGCTCTAATCTCAGCGTCCATGACATTTTAGGAATGAAGACATTAGCGCATGGCAGCATTTTGTGCAATGAAGTACAGAAAGCAAAAGGTGCCTAAGTACATCTGAGTAAGCACTGCTCCTCTGAGGGTTCGCTTGTTCGGGGACCTCTGGGGTGCAGGTGTAAAAATGAAGGACTTTATGAGTGCCCGGGGTGGCGACACCCAAAGGCTCATCAGAATGGCTAAGAGTCCTTGGCAACACACAGCCCTGGAGCTCAGACGCCACAATCACCTTGAACTTGCCCCAAGTTCACAGGAAACAGCACTGACTCAGTGGCATGCTACACGAGCAAGGTCAGCATCCCAGAACCTTCCTGTCCAGGCCGGGAGGCCCGGTCCCACAGGGATGCAGATGAGCAGAGGTAGAGAGGCCGCGAGGGCCACACGCCACCTCCCAGCGTCAGAATCTCCGCCGCCACCAGGGTGCCACACGTTGGGTGCGGACCTCATTGCCTTTTCAAATCACGTTTCTCAAAGGCAACAAGGGGGCTTTAGTACTCATTTTCTGCTTTATTCATTTTTTTAAAAAATTTTATTCATTTTTATTAATAAAGAAATGAAAGGTATAGTCTCTCAGGCACACACACACACAGTGTTGTCTTTCATCCACTGGTTCACTCCCCAAAAGCCTACAACAGTTGGGACTCAACGAAGAGCTTCACCTGGGCCTCGCAGGTGGGCAGCAGGGATTCCGTGCCTGAGCCATCACCTGCGAGATAGCAGGTGTACCAGCAGGGAGCTGGATCAAAAGTGGATTTGCACCCTGGCCAGGGATGTGGACATCCCAAACATGGCTTCCCCTGCTGTCCCACATGTCTTCCCCCAGTTTTCTACTCTGAACCAGTAACTTTCTTCACACTTGAGTTTTAGTCTACTGAGAGGAAAACTGACGGCTCCCAGGAAAATCCAAGCTGCGCTGATCACCAGATCTGGACAAAGTATCAAAATGTATTTACACACACAAAATGTCACTGTCTGGCAATTTCTGACTCTCACACAGAACCATCTGTCCTGCCCCAACCAGAGGTAAGTGTAGTCACGTCTCCATGAATTCACTTTCTCTCCTGTCACATGGTTCTACGAGGCAGACTGTGTTTGCTTTATGTCTCAGTGTGCACACACACACACACACACGACCTAAACACATAGGCACACACAGACCTAAACACACAAACACAGAGAGATATACATACAGAGACATACACAGGGGCACACAGACACACACAGACCTAAACACAGAAACACACACAAACACACCGGGACACACACACACACACACAGACCTTAACACACAAACACACAGAGAGATAACACACATACAGGCACACACAGACCTAAACACACACAGACCTAAACACACAAACACACAGAGACAGACATAGACACACACAAGGATTTCTCAAAGTCTGTAGAAAACTGAATTAAAAGTCAAGTTTTTGGATGCAAACATTTTGAAATCTGTACACAGGATAGGTCTTCAGGAACAGAAAATGAGTACCATGAAAAAAT